GAGAGAGGGATGTAAGGACGAATTTCATCTCCTGAAATATCGCAAATGAGCGCCGAACCATTCCACTCAAATTTTTTATTCATTCATTCATTAAGGATGAAGTTCCGTCCCGTAAAAAATTTTTAAGCTTCTCGTCATCACTTTAAGCTTGCTATAAAACTGCGAGATCAATGTCTGTAGGAAAATTAATCATGTCAACTCGCGACAATGCGTTGGCAACTAAATTCTTCTCTCCCGGTAAATATTCGATCAGGGTGGAAAATCGTAAACTCTTGGCCTCAAATCAGCATACTGGTAACTACATTTTTAATAATTTATTTATTGTTTAAACAAATAAAACAATTATTTTTACATCATTAAAAAGAGGGCATTCATACGAATCAAAAGTAAGAAACGGCGTTTTATAATTTTAATTAGGCTATGCGGGAGGGGTCAATAAAGATTCGAACAGTTTTTCGCGTTTTTCTCGAAATCTTTCAATCTGCAGTTACTGTATTTCTCGAAAACACGGCTGACCCCTTGCTGTCCGCAATTGGACAATTAACTTTTTGGAGATTCGATCTGGATGCTGTCTGCAGATTATGATATTAAATAAAAATTAAAATCAAACCATTATTTTTATTCTCCAAATATGTACTAAGATAGGCAAAAAAGTTTTATTACATATTTATAATAAAGGAGCTAAGAAAAAAATTTCTTCATACCTCGGTCGAAAGTACGTACTTCCCTCTGCGATTTCGCAGCAGAGAGTCAAACATTTGTGCTTTGGTTGATTTTCATACCCAACCTCTATTACAGCGGGAGTAAAAGAATTCTCTGTCGGTAAAAACACCACTGTCGGTAAATAAGAAAATTTCGAGTTCAATGACAATTTAACGAGTAATTGTTCATTAGAACGTTCAGAATTTTAGAAACCTAAAATTAATTTTGTACCAACAGAAAAATTCTTTTAAAAATATAATATTAATTTATCTTTTTCACATTGTTTTCGTGCCTGCCCCCGACCAGAAGCACTCGCTTCGCTCGTGCATCAAATGTCGGGGCAGGCGAATATTATTTGCAAGAGAGAGACAGAGAAAAAACCAGAGCTGTGCGAGTGTCCGCTAGAGGCGTTGAAGCGAGAAGCAAAAGTAAATAAAGATGGCCGGCTGTCAAATGAAACACGATTGCAATTTTCTTAAAAAATAAATTAGCGAGCGTACTTTCGACCGTATATAAAGAAAAATAGTATACATTACACTGGCAGAAATTCGAAAGCCCTAAACCACGCGATAAATCATTTCGCGCAGTGCAGGAATTTCGAACTTTCTGCCCTTATAATGTAATATACTATTCTTAAATTTGGTCTTTTAAGAGCCTTCTAAAGTGTAGTAGTACCTTAAATATGTTTGACTATACAGCAAAGAGATTTTTAATTTTGATTTAAACAAAATTAAACGAATCAACCCGAGTCGAAATTTCGACTCTTTTGAACCTCTTTACCCTCCTACTTTTGAGACTTCAAGAGAATCAAAAGAGGTTTATTTAGCATGCAAGAGAGAATATGCAAGCAGATTTCCTTTATCAATTACTAATTCATTTTACAACCCACTACTTCGGTGAGCTGCTCACCAACATTTTGGACTGTCACGCACCCAAAATTGTACCGCAGCACACCAAAACCATAGTGGAGCTGCTGTCACAAACGTTGTTCCGATACAGTCCTAAAGGTCTCTCAGTGAAAATAAACAAAAACTGTTTAGTAAGGTGAGAAAAGACAAACTTAACCTTAAAATAATTTGCTTTTTTAGGTACTTTTCTTCGGAAAGTATCACAAATGTTCTTTCACTAGTACATTTACCTTAGTTTTGATTTGTAAATTTTAATAACTTTAAAGTTTTCTGTTTAACATTTTATTCTAAAAATTGAAATTTTTTAATATTGACGATGAAAAATAATAAAAATTGTGAAACTCAATATAAAATAAATTGAAAAAATCTTTTGGTTAAATTAATTGAAAACTCCAGGAAAGACTCAATGTACACTACCGTCCGTGAGTATCAGGTCGCCCCTTTTTTCATGAGTAGAAAAATGCTTAAAACGTAGAAAATAAGAATGACAAAAAATTTTCGTATTTTTTTCGTGAAAGCTAATGAAATTATAAAAAGACTGACACCTGATCGAAGAATTTTCGTTGACTATTCTGTCAGATAAAGAAAAAGTACTAAATTTTGCATGCTTTTCGTAATTTTTTAATTTCTCGAAAACTAATTAACTTTTATTAGCGCTCTTGATCTTGTTTCAATCTCTATTCAATGTAGAATCTAAATTATTAACTGGTATTGTGAAATAAATTTTTCCAAAAAAATTTGAAACCGTAAAAGAATGATTAAAAAATTAAAAAAATTATTATGAATATTAAAGTGTGAAAAAGGTCAATGTAAAATATGTTCATTTAATAGATATACTAAAATTCAAAAAAGCTTTTTAATTACTTAATTATTTAATTTAAAAGAAAATTTTTTTTGTTGAAAAGGTGTCAATCTGTTTTTCAAAATTTTTTTATCCGACTTTCACAGTTTCAAATTTTTTTGGAAAAATTTATATCACAATACCATTTATTTATTTAGATTCTACATTGAATAGAGATTGAAACAAGACCAAGAACGCTAAAAAAAGTTAATTAGTTTTCGAGAAATTAAAAAATTACGAAAAGCATGCAAAATCCAGTATTTTTTTTGTATCTGACAGAATAGTCAACGAAAATTCTTCAATCAGGTGTCAGTCTTTTCATAATTTCATTAGCTTTCAGGAAAAAAATAAGAAAAATTTTTGTCATTCTTATTCTCTACGTTTTAAGCATTTTTCTACTCATGGAAAAAGGGGCGTCCTGCACGGAGAGAAATGGAGTTTAAAAAACTGGGAGTCAATATTGAAAAAACAGGACTCAGTCCAGTAAAAGTACATTAATTCATTTCCATCAAGCATCTTAGGTTAGTGCGTATAGTGTATAGAGGGCCTTAGTTCCAAATATCACTGTAAAGAGCATTGAAACACAGGCGAAGATTATAAGGCGCGCTGCAGTGTGCATAGTAGAGAAACTGGACTCAGTCCTCTACTTCGAAATTTTCACAATAAAGGAACGCAGGCGCGGAACCTGTCAAAATAAATGGCCGACGCGACGCGAAACGAGTGTTTCCTTTTATTCACTTCGTCAATTTTATATGAAAAGAAACAATAACCAATTGTTAAAAAAAATAAAAATATGTTAAATGCACTCTTTATATATTCATATTCATTAATTCACAAGTTTTATTCTTTCCACATCTTCATACTTACAATTAACAAGTAAATGCATCGGAAAATCTTACAATCATACGGGATTGAACACCTACCTAACCATACAACTAAATATACGCATAATTATAAATCGCACGCTTTTACATTAAGCCTCTCGGCTACGCAATCGATGGGGGAAATTTCCTATTTAAGAAACATCCCTTACCAATGAAATAAATTAGATTATGCGTGGATTTTACTTTGTAATTAATGTAAGTATGGATGTCAACAATATTCATAATATTGAATAAATAATATTGTCCACTAGTTTAAATTTGATACGGTTATTAGAATTTAATAATAAATAAATAAAAAACGTTAATTTTTTCCTAACCTTTTTCAAGTTTGACACTCCTCATGGTAAATTTGATTATTCTTTTTTTCCGCGTACAAAATAGTGAATTGACCTTGAATGAAATGTATAATTAATTATTCTCAAAGCAATATTTAATAATTTAATTAACTTAACTGCACTGCATAATAGTTAAGAGTAGTAAGAGTAAGTGAAACAGTAAGATAAGTGAACGACGATTAGTGAGAAGGAGAGAGAGAGAGAGAGAGAGAGAGAATAACTTGTGGTTTTCGAGAAGGTATCTACTTTATGTGCACGGCGTTCATTTTTCGAAAGAACTGGACTGAGTACTAGTTGTTCAATATTCGCTTCTATTATTGACTTGTGTTTTGTACACTCCCGCGTTCTTTTAACAATTACATGAGAAAGTAATTTCTCATTCCAATTTTTTATACTCTTATTCCCTCTTAGACTATATAAACAGTCTTGTTTAAGCTGATGAATGGGATAACTTGTGTTGAGTCCCAAAGTGTTCAGCTATGAAACTTCTAATACTATAGTGTGTACCTGTCACATATTATTCTATAAAGTAGTACTACACTGACTGTATAAATCATTTTTCCATTTTTCTCCGTGTGATACTCACGGACGGTGTAGTGTAATTCTCAAAAAGTTTTTCCTCTGACAAGTAGACCTACTCAAGTGTCAGTGACCGATTTGACTGAAACTTGGAAAGCTTAGAAATCAGAAAAATAATTTTTTGTTAGCGGCAAAGAAGATGATTTAAGAGTGGAAAGTACCCCTTTTGTTGCTAAAAATCCCTTAAAATCATAAAGAAGTTTAAAGCTCTTCAGCAAATTTGATGATTTTTCAAAATTTTTGTTTGCTATATTACTATATTAGATCTGACATTTTGAATTTTGTAAATCTAATTTCAAATTCCTAATCAGCGACCTCAAAAATCCCGAATAACAAGTTTCAAGTGATTTCAAGTAAATTTTAAAAATTCTACCGCCGTATTAAATCCGACATTTTGAATTTCGTAAATCTAAACTCAAATTCGTAATCAGCTACCTCAAGAACCCTTTTGCACCAAATGTTTAAAAATTATATTAAACTAAAAAAGCTTTCACCTTTTATTGTAATTTTATGGGCTTTTTAGCAACAAAAGGGGTATTTTTAATCCTTAAATCGTCTTTTTTGGCTATAACAAAAAATTCATTTTTCCGAGTTCTAAGCATGTGCCAAGTAAACCGATTTTTTCGTAGAAGAAATTTTTTTAGAATTATATTTTAAGTCTTTTCTGAAGGTTTCAATTAATTTTACCCAAAGTTTTTCGAATGTATTTTGTGCGGAGTTCTTTAAATTTAAAAAAATGTGTTTTTTACAGTTGCTTATGAAAACTTCACCAGAGATTGTCTCAAAAATATCAGTTTGGAAACGTTACAGCGATTTTAGAAAATTACATACAGCATTGAACAGTTTATATTTAAGTCTCGAAAGTAAAGAATCGTTTCCGTCTTTTTCGAAGCCACGATTTTTCGGTCGTTTTGAAACTGAAGTAATAGAGGAGAGAAAAGACTGTGCACTGAGACTATTAGCTTTCGTAGCTAAACATTCATCTCTTTATTCAAGTGATGTTTTTGTGAAATTTTTTGAAAGCAGTCATCTCGATCGATGTCTAATTGATTGTTCTCAGTCAATAAGTTCTGACACCTCCGAAGATGATCGGGGATCTAGAACTGACAATCTTGAAGGATTTCGTCGATCTCAACATTCACAAAGTCTCGCCAAGGGGCTCAAAAAATTTATTTGCACAGATTACAAAACTGGTTTGAAAAACCATTTGAAAGTTGAACCTTACGATAATATTCAAGAAGTGAGTTCCGAAAATGAGAGAAATCACAAAAGTAATAATAATAAAGAGATAATGACAGATTGTGTCGTTTACGCTGAGGAAGCAATTACAGATGAGATGACAGTAATTCATGATGGTTCCGATTTACTAAAAGGGGACAATCTTTCTACTCAGTATATTTTAATTGCAGCTGCTCATATGAGTGCAGCTTTTCGTCACGAGGCGATTGCTGAATATGAGGAAGCTTTTACGCAGTACAAATTAGGAATTTCAAATCTTATGAATGGAATTCAAAATGATTTGGATGTGGAGAGAAAAAACATGATTAAGGAAAAAGTGAGAAAATATTTACAGAGAGCTGAGAAACTCTATAATAGACATTTGAATTGTAACATATCAGTTTTAAGTAAACCTATAAGTGAGCTGCATAATTATAAAGTTCTTGGATTTATTCAATCGTTAATGCTTGTCAAAGATACATTACGAGGATTGACAAGAGTAATTAAGGTGAGTTATTTAAACTGTATTTCTCATTGAATTGATTATATGTATTAGACAAATAAAAGTTTCAATTAAGATATCTTTAAAGTTTTGAATATTTCAAAAGATGAAGCTTTTATTTTTTTACAAGATCAAATTTTGTTTTAATGTAACATACCTTTATTAAATATTAAATAGGGGAGAATGGGGTAAACCCGCTCACTTTTTTTCAGATCGGTAAAAATTATTTTTAATTAGAAATTATTTTCTAAATTCAAGTTAATTTATATCATTTGAAAGCTTATGATTTCTACTAAAAAATAAAAAAGAGTTTTTGATTTAACTTTACTAGTTTTACTTAGAGAAACTTTTTAATACACATATACCAAATTTCGAAATCACAATTTTTCAGGGTAAATCCGCTCGCTTTATCTTTTCAAGACGGAACAGTTTTATTTTTTAAATATTAAAATTCGTCTTATTCATGTTTTAAGTATGATTTATTATTGATAAACTATGAGTTCTATAAACAATTCTATAAACAACAAACTGGTTTAATAAATAATGAATATAGGTTTCATGAACTACAACTATGGATTTAAATAATAAATATAGGTTTCATGAATTACAACTACCGTGGTTGCACCGGTTTCCGTCCACTTTTTTATAATTTCGATTATATTAAAGGGAACAAATTTGTTTACTACATTTAATTAATTTTACTAGAATCTATAATATCTAATGCTCTCTTTGCACAATTATAATTATAATTTGAACGTTAAAATTCTACAAAAATAAAATAAAAAAGTCCTCCAGTGCTGTCAAGTGCCTTCTCGTGAGAGAAAATAGTGACTATACTCAAGTGAGCAGCTGACAAGTATTTCGGCACGTTTCGATCATTTAAGTTAAAATTGATTTAAAAGTATATTTATCGATAAATTAGGTATTAAATTATATATATTATTAATTATAGTCAATGAAAACATTAATTTCATAACTTATTTAGCTGTCCCACAACCGGGGCAGTGTAATTCGAAATTGTCTTAGTTTCCGTCCGCTTTCTCTATACAAATTTCTGACCTTTCTAACACAAAGGTAGATCAGTAAAAAATAAAAACAAATGATTAAACAGTAATAAAAAAGCTAGAAGGCAGCTTTTTATGGGAAACCTATTATATTCTATTTTCAGCACTCAGACTCCCAAATACAAATTACCAGACATGATAAGGAATGCACTAACTCAATTTATATTTAAAAACTTGTATTTCGAATTTTTGTTTAAGAAAAGTAATGGATGGTTCGATATAACCTTTTGGTAATCTTTTTCAGTATGAGTACAATTTATGTTCATTAAATCTGTAAACACTTTGTCAGTCAATGCTTATAAACATTTGGATTGTTTAATTTAAAATAAAATGTTTTAAAACGCGCCACATTTAAAATCTCATGAAATAATGTTCAACTTAAGTTAATGCATATACTCATTGCGCTGTATTGATTTATGTATTTTGTTCCTTGAAGGGCTTATTAGCCCTTTATTAGCCCTAGCAACTTATTTTTCTTAAATAAATAATATAACATAACCTTAATTTTGAAAAACAGCGAAATACCAGAACCAAAAAAAACAAAAAATAAAACTATAATTTTTTATGTACCTATAGTACTTTCATGTTCCATTTTTTCTCTTTATTTTTTATTTATACTTTTGAATACTTTAAGGTATTTGTCGCGCGACTGGTCACTGTCAAAAGTTTGTATCCGTTGACTGTACTTATGAAACGATTATGAATGCGAGTTTCCGAAAAACTTTTGCCGACGTACAGTTTGACACACAGATGTTCTCAAAGTATATTCATAACCTCTCGCATGCAAAAACGATCGTGGCAACGTCGCAAGTTTGGCGTATGGCCGTCTTTAAAATTTCGCGCCAAAAGTAGCAGACAAGCTGTAGTATTTAACAAGCGCTATTGCCACGTTTACAAATTCACCTGTCATTTACAGTAAATGTTAAAATAATTTTTCAAGTTTGATGTTAAATATCTTTTAAACAAGACGGTGAAAAATTTTCATTTTTTTTATAAAAGTTCATTTTGGTTCAATAAATAAAACTTTAGTTTTTCTAAAAAATCTGTCGATTAGTATAAGTGCAAAAATTAAAAATCTGTGGTTTTCATATGGTTTTCCTATACCGTACATGTTAAAAATCGAAACTTTGATTTCATTTTTTGAGACTTACAGACGGTCAATTTTATTTTAATAGGCCTTATTTTGTAGATAAATATCTAAAGAATAATTATGTGAAATTTAAAAAAATTCTGTCGAAAATGAATTTACGCGACAAATACCTTAAACAGATTTTTTGTTTATAATAGTATATTTCGTAACGAGTGCGAGCAGTTGTCAATTTTTGAATGAGCACTTTTTTTTTTTTTTTTTTTAGCCTACAGTTTGTTCCAAAAAAGTGCTCGTTTAAAAATTGGCAACTGCTAGCACTAGTTACGAACGATATTTTTTATAACAAGGTGCAAAAAAGTGCCCTTTTTTGCACCGCGTTATGAAAAATTATATATGGGCAATTCCACGTGAGATTTAAGTCAACCTCTTAAAATCGGCCAAAAATATTTTTTTCTATTCTGTATCGAAAAAAACAGATACTTTTTTTTTTATTTATGTTTAATTGTCCAAATTTATGAGTTATGAATTTTCGAAAATTTGGACTTTTAATTGTAGATCTATATTCAGTAGCTTATAAGTCCGAAAATATTGAGTTTAGGAAAAAGTTGTCAAAGAATGAAAATTTTAGTTTTCTTTCGACTTTTAAGAAATGTAAACAAAAAATTTTTTTTTTAATTTTGTATTAAAAAAATTTTTTTTTATAAACAAATTAATTTTTTTTAACTTTGGGCCGGATTTTTTTATATTTTTTTATATTTTTTTGTACCTTATAATATAGAGAAGATTTTCCAAAAAGTCCCGAAATGGGCCAGATGTGTTAAATGAGTTATAAAATATTTTCAAAAATCACTTGCAAGCATCACAGTAGGATTTTTTTTACATTTAACTTTTTAAAACTGTTTACAGCGTAGACCCTTTTATTTAAAACAAAGAACACACAAATATATTAAAAAAATTATATCTTGTAGACAGTTTTAGAAAGTTAATTGTAAAAAAATCCCACTGTGATGCTTGCAAGTGATTTTTGAAAATATTTTAAAACTCATTTAACACATCAGGCCCATTTCGGTACTTTTTGGAAAATCTTCTCTATATTATAAGGTACAAAAAAAAAAAAAAATCCGGCCTAAATTTAAAAAAAATTAATTTGTTTATAAAAAAAAATTTTTTTTATTATAAAATTAAAAAAAAATTTTTTTGTTTATATTTCTTAAAAGTCGAACGAAAACTAAAACTTTCATTCTTTGACAACTTTTTCCTAAACTCAATATTTTCGGACTTATAAGCTACTGAATATAGATCTACAATTAAAAGTCCAAATTTTCGAAAATTCATAACTCATAAATTTGGACAATTAAACATAAATAAAAAAAAGTATCTGTTTTTTTCGATACAGAATAGAAAAAAATATTTTTGGCCGATTTTAAGAGGTCGACTTTAATTTCACGTGGAATTGCCCATATATTGTTAAAATATTTTAAAAGATGTTTTAATTAAAATGTTGAGGTTTTTACTTAATAACAATACCTAATATATCCCTGGACGGAAACTGGGGCAATCAGGGGACGGATACTAGGGAAAACGAATTTTAGTGGACGTCAATTGGTGCATAAAAAATATAATTTATATTATTATATAAGAATTAATTTTTCATACATTTAAAGTGACAAATTATTTTAAATAAAAAAAGACAGTATAAATTATACTTTCTATGAAAAATATTGCAATATTGCACATTTTAGAAGAAAAACCATTGTTTGCAAGGTATTATGAGTTTAAGCCTTAGATGAACGGAAACTGGTACAACCACGGTAAGGATTTAAATAATGTTATATTTTATTAAGAGAAAGTGAAATGTAGTTACAATTTTGGTTTTAATAAGTCATAAAATTTATTATTGTTAAAAGAAATATAATACGTTAAATTATATTATTCTAAATTTTAAATTTAAAACTAAGTGAACGGTTTTACCCCGACTACACGTGAGCGACTTTACCCCGAGTTGAGTTCGTAGCGTCAAATCGATAGTGAGCGGGTTTACCCCAGTCTCCCCAAATTATAAACTTTCCCTATTTTTGATTTATGTTTATACTTTCAATTGGACAACATTTAATAGAAAGATAATAATACAAATGCATAACATTTAAAGAAGCTCACACACTTTACAAATTTTCGATATATGTACTGAAAACCCGGAAAAAGGTGGTAATTTTACAAAGGATAATGGGTAAAATAGGCTTGAGTAGAGGGTAAAAATCATGAAAGTAATGGGGAAAAATTCGGAAGGGTACTATTATAAAGGATAAACACTTGAACATATCTCTGCACGGTGGTTCTGAACCCATTTTAAATGAAGATAAATAGCACCTCTGATTTTCTTGCTGGGTTCGATTCTGTGACAGAATGATTTTTCTACAAAATTTAAAATAATCCACTGAGCCGTTTTTGAAAAAAGTTGATTATAGTTAAATAAAATTCCATTTTGCAGAAACAATAACACATTTTTATTTAAAATAAATAGCACCTCCAATTTTCTTGCTGGGTTTGATCCTGTGCCACTTCTAAATGATTTTGCTACAAAATTAAAAATAATCCCTTTAACCGTTTTTGAAAAAATTCTATTTTATTAAAACTAAATATCATTTTGCAGAAACGATTATTTAACTGATACTTTGATAGATTATTTATATTAAAAGAATAATAATATAACTATAGTGTCATTAAGATAACAAGAATTAAACACGTTGACTATTGCATATATAACGAAAGTGAATTTATGGGTAACACCACTCTATAGGCTGAAAAAGAGACCTATCTTTGATGATTTGTTTTGAGAAAATGAAAAATGGAAT